TTCCAATTTTTTGTAGGGTTTTTATCATAAATGCATGTTGGATTTTGTCAAATGCTTTTTCTGCATCTATTGAGATGATCATATGTTTTTTGTCCTTAGCACTATTGATATAGTGTATTACATTGATTGATAGCAATGGACATATTTCATTTGCCTTACTGGTACTTAAGCTCTTAAGTTCCCTCTTCCCTCCTATGAGTGGCGCCACCTTAGAATTCAGCATCATTTTTTATTCTTCTGATGCCTACCTCATGTGCTGATTCTATCTTTGTAGTATGCAATACTTTAAAACCCTCACCAGCTTATATCACTGTCTTTGGTGAAATAAAACATTCATTCTGTGAAGATGTCACCCTTCAGAACCTTTAATGGCATATACCTTGCAATAACCTTTGCTATATACCAATAATGCCACCAACACAATTTTCTTCTATTATTTTTCAAGGCCAGATTCTGGGCAAGGCAAGGCACAGAAATATCACCCTATGAACACACCACCACAAATTTCCCAGAATCAAAATAGCAGAAGTTAAAAAGCAAACTCAAAGACTCAGCCAAACAATTAACAGAATCAGATTTTTTCCAAGGACAAAGACTAGACTGAGAAAAATTTAAAAACAGCAATTTAACCAAATATGAGTCATTAGAATTTTAATGTTTCCAATCTGTCAGCCATGGTCAATAGAGCCTAAGCCCCTAGATTTAAAGGTCAAAAGTAGTTTGATTCCTGAGCTAGTACCCAGGTCCCTAGGCTCCATATGTAACATTCTACTCACACCATTCCACACAAAAGAAACTGCTCAACCCATGGCTGCCACAGGCAGGGCTCATGGCTGCCATCTTGATTCAAAGACTTCAACTGGAAAGCTTGGAAGGGGACCCATACTGCCTGCCTACAAAAGGCCTTGGCCCTGTGGAGTTGGGTTTGGCTCAACATGTGTGTAGACAGAGCAGACCCTGTGTCACATAAAGACACAGTGATACAGACATCATTTACCCCCAGATACCCACAATAAATTAGCTATGTAATTTAAACAGTTGTTTCAGTGCCAGGCTGCATGCTAAATGCTATAGCCACAGAGATACAAATGTACATATATATTCATAATTAGCATCATAATAGAGTAATATATAATGGTACACTGGATTATTGTATACATATTCTCATTTGACCCTCACTATAATCCTATAAGGTGGATGTTACTATTCCTATTTTGTCTATGTGAAAATAATTATATAGAGATGTGACTAGACCAAGCTCACACAGCCAAGACCTGAACGGTGCCTGTCTATCTCTAGAGTAAATAATTTCCTCTGTCAATGCTGGTAATTTTGCCATGTTGCACAAACACAGCCACTTTCAGTAGACACTGCAAGGAGAAGCCCACTCTACTCCCCATGGTTCTGGGGGCATAAGGCTTGGGTTCGTGCCTTCATTGTCCCATTCTCTGGCTGTCCTTTGGCCTGGCATTCACCCTGAGCCCCAGGCCCATCCACATCAAGGGAGAGAGCTCGCAGACTATGCTGCTGAAGCCTGAGCACTTGGGAACGCCCAGGGGAAGGGCAACGCCACCACCAGGGCTGGCAGAGTCTTGGCCATCACTCCCACCACCTTCAATATGGCAGCTTAGGAATGTAGAGTGAGCAAGGTTTACATTGGTCTTTAAAAGTTTAGAAAAATTGAGTTTACTAAAAACCTTTCTAAAAAAATTAAAAATACAAATGGTAGAAAAACACAGAGTGAAAAAGAAAACTCCCATCTACCCTACCCTTCTAGATCAATTTCCAGAAACTTCTCCTTCCAGAATTACTTTATGCACATATAAGTGTGCACGTCTTCCCCATCCTATGCATGCATTTTCCATTTTTACGTGCATAGGAACATGAGTTTTTTCCTTTGCAACATTTAGGTCATTTTAATTTTTTTTGTTATTGCAAACAAAGCTGCAATTTCCCTTTCCATCTGTCTTACTGTCCAATAATCCGTTTCTGAATCAGACAGACCTGGGTTGTAGTCCTAGAACTAATCATCTTTTGGGTGGTTTTGGAAAAGTTATTTAGTCTTAATTTCCTTATGTGTAAGACAACAAGGCAATAATGAAGGTGAAATGATTTGGGGAGCGGTTATGAATTGTTATAATGATTAAATGAGATATCATGCCTGGAGAAGAGTAGGTGCTCCATAAATGCTTGCTCGAAACAATGATGTTTTTCCTGTTTTGGATGAGGTAGTTCCTGGGTTCAAAAGACATACAGAGGAAATAC